GTGCCTCCTGGTAATGGACAGTGCTTCTGCTCATCCTCCAGACTTGGAAGACCAGTTGTTGGAGGAGTTTAGTTTCATCACAACGAAATTCTTCCTTCCTTATATCACTCCTCTCATCCAACCCATGGACCAGCAGGTCATATCAAACTTCAAAAAACTCTACACCAAAGCAGTTTCAAAGGTGCTTTGAAGTGACCTCGGACACTGAATTGACCCTAAGAGAGTTCTGGAGGAATCACTTCAATATCCTCAATTGCATAAGCCTTATAGATAAGGCTTGGCAAGAAGTGACTTCCAGGATGATGAACTTTGCTTGGAGAAGATTTTTGGCCAGAATGTGTCCAAGAGAAGGATTTTGAAGGGTTTGAGGCTGACCCTGACGACCCTATGCATGTTATAGAATCTATTGTGTCTTTGGGGAAGTCCATGGGGTTGGATGTGAGTGGCCAGGAAGTGGAAGAGTTGGTGGATGACCACAGGGAAGAGCTAGCCACTGAAGACCTGCAACACTTTTAACTGAAACAGCATCAGATCACAGCTGAGAAAATTGCTTCAGAGGAGGAGGAAGAGAGAGGGGAAAATGTGCCGTCTTCAGTGATTAAGGATGTGTGCAAAGTGAAGGGAGGTGCAGAGTTTTGTGGAGAAATATCACCCTAACAAAGCTGTTGTAAGCTGTGTCTGCAACATGTTCAATGACAATGCCTTGTCCCATTTAGGCAAATCTCAGAGATGTCAGAAACGGACGTCTCTGGACAGATTTTTTGTGCGATGGGTTCAGTGACTCTTAAGTTGGTCAAGTGCCAGTAAAAGACAAAGAAGGGTCAGTAACCCTGGATAGGGCCTTGATACCTGAAGTCCTTTTGGAAAGGGATTCCCTGTCCAAACAATAACCTCTTCTTTCTCCCCTCCTCTCCGTCTTCCATACACCAACAAGAGTCTTCAGTGAAGGTAAAAGTGATGTTAAATGTTCATTTATCCATTCCATTAGTCATTTATGTTTATTTCTCATGGTTTTCCGTATGGAAAACTATAGTTATTCTCTATAAAATGTCTTTTGTTAATATTTTTGAGTGTTTGGAATGGATTAATTGGATTTACAATACATCTTATGGGAAATATTGCTTCATTTTTCATACAGTTTGTTTTTGGTCAGACTTTCTGGAATGAATTAATCACGAAAACCAAGGTTCCCCTGTAATATATAATTATTATTCTGTTTAAAACAATAATTATCAAGGTAGGTATTCATGATATCCTGTTAGCATTACAAAACAATAAAAAGTAAAACACACAGTACACTCATTACTTCAAAATATTTGTAATCTTAACCCTTTGACTGTCGAGGTCGTATATATACGTCTTACGAGGTACTGTGTTTGATGTATATATACTCATAAATTCTAGCGGCTTCAAATCAAGCAGGAGAAAGCTGGTAGGCCCACATGTGAGAGAATGGGTCTGTGTGGTCAGTGTGCACCATATAAAAAAATCCTGGAGCATGCAGTGCATAATGAGGAAAAAAAAAACTCCGACCGTTTTTTTTAATTGAAATGCCGACTTTGTGGTCTATTTTCGTATAGTATTTATGGTTGTATTCTCGTTTTCTTGGTCTCATTTGATAGAATGGGAAACATATTATAGAATTAGATGTGATTTTGATTGATTTTACTATAAAAAGAACCTGGAAATGGAGCTCAAAGTAGGGGAAATGTTTGATTTTTGCCGATGTTTAAAAGTAAACAAATGATGTCATTGTCCAATAAATGTCCAACTAGCCATTCTAACATGCAGTCATGAATGGGTTGATGTTATTTATACAATTATTACAGTATTGCAGTAGTCTGCATAACAGTAAATCTTCTATTTTTTGTTTGAATAAAAATTCAAAATAGAAAGCAAGAGTAATATCAGAGGGGCTTGGAGACGTGACTGATGAACAAAGAAAATGTTATTTTAGAGCCAGGAATGTCTGCATTGTTCATTCTGGACCTTATTTTGAAATTGTCATATTTTTTTAATTTTCGTGAAATTGGCCAAATTGCAAAATTCTGACCACGTTATTGGGTAGTTGAAATCGGTAAATGGGCAGTTTCTTGTACTCAGTCGATAGAAAAAATTTATTTCTAAAGAAATAGCTATGAGTTTGGTCGACTGGAACAATGGAATTAGCCGAAAATAGGGCTCAAAATGGGCGAAATCGCTGATTTGTAAATATCGCCAAGGTCGCTAACTTCGCGAGAGCGTAATTCTGTCAGTTTTCCATCAAATTTCGTGTTTTTGGTGTCATTACAATCGGGAAAAGATTCTCTATCATTTCATATAAAAAAATAATTTTTTTTTGTTTTTTGAAATTTTGCAACTCCAGGAGACACTTCAGGATTGGGGGTTGCGACAGTCAAGGGGTTAATGTAGGGTGAGAAGTGAGTAGTGTTTATTGTAAAAATTCAGGTGTGGTAGGTATGGTAGCCAGCCAGGCCACCCCACCCCACCCACACGTAATATACTACGACATTTAACCCTTTGACTGTCGCAAGCTCCTTTCTGAAACTGCCATTCTATATTGCAAAATTTTTTGAAAAAAAAAAAAAAAAAAAAAAAAAAGTTCTCATGAAATGATAGAGAGTCTTTTCCCGATGGTCACGACACCAAAACTATGATATTTGATCAAAAACTCAGGGAGTTACGCTCCTGCGAAGTTAGCGGTGTTGGCAACATATATGCATCGGCGATTTTGCCGAATTTGAGCCCTGTTTTTGACCAATTCTGTTGTTCCAGTTGACCAAACTCATAGCTATTTCTTTAGAACTCCATTTTTTCTATCAGTTGAGTACAAGAAACCACCTATTCACCAATTTGAACTACCCAATAAAGTGGTCAGAAATTGGCAATTTGGCCAATTTTGTGCAAATAAAAAAAAGATGCCAATTTCAAAATAGGGTCCAGAATAAACAATGTAGACATCACATAATGACATATTTTATTCATTCTAGAGTGTATATCATATTTTTGTGTTATTTATATTGTTTATTATGTCATATTAGATCATTTGAGATAGAGTTGATATTAGCATTATATTGAAGTATTTTTTTCTGCCTCACAAGAGCCAGGAATTCCACTGGAATGTATTAATGGCATTTCAATTAATTTCAGTGAGGAGAATTGATTTGAAATATGAGCAAATTGAGTAAGATTCTGGGTCACGGAAGGAATTAAACTAGTAAGTCTAGGTACCACTGTATAATTATCAGAGTATGTATATATAAAATATGAAATAACTTTAAAACACTTGAAATTTTGGAAAGTTTCCAAACATAATGGAGAGATGCGGTGTTCACAGAGAATGTAAACAAACTGGGTGGGGTGCAGTGACAGTATTAGAAAGACAGGGGGAGCCGTATTGCGAGTTTTGGTCATAATTTGAAATGCCCATATTTGCAGAATGCCATGAAAAGAAATGCCGTAAAGTGGGGCCCTGCTGTACATAAAATATTCTCTTGAATTTGTTCAATAGAGTTACAACTCTATTGTCAAACCATCAAAGCTATTTTTCAAGCTAGCCGTTCTGCTACCAAACCAACAACAATGTTGTTAAGCCAGCAATTTGACTGATAATCCAACAACACATTTTCCAAACTAACATGACTGCTACTACATTGCCAAACCAGTTATTCTGTTACTTTAATGTTAGCTTTGTCATTCATTGAGGTTGACTTATGTGGTGGGTGAAGGTGCAGATCAGAACTTTTAGGTGAAAAAAATTAGGCTAACATGACTGCTTCAATTTATGGAAAATAATAAGTTTTAGTGGTGTAGCATAATTGTTATATGGGTTAGGACTGCAGTATATTAGTGAAACAAAGAAGTGAGCAGTCTTGCCTACACCCTTATGAGGCACACATCATACAGAATGTTATCCATACACAAAATTATAATTTATAATGCTTATTTATCGTGATTGTGTGCATAAAGTATCTTCAGATTTCCCGTAAATTAAATAGTGTATACAATGACTCGCGAAATCGTAATGACACGATTGCAAACAAACCATACCACGGGCGGGATTTGAACCCGCGGTCAGAGAGTCTCAAAACGCGACGGTCTGGAGTTTTGAGACTCTCTGACCGCGGGTTCAAATCCCGCCCGTGGTATGGTTAGTGTATACAATAAACCCTCAATTTAACAGACCTTGATTTATTGGGCTTGGAAGAACAGGACAAAAATCTGTTGGGTCATTTGATCTGGAAACGATGGACAAAGTTCATTGGTTACAGAATTATTCTTAAGATCATAGCAAAGCAACCTCATCTCTATCTACCACAATCACAATTACCAGTCACCTGCTTCTCCATGTTAGTCCACTAAATTGAGGGTTTATGTTGACTAATTATTCACTTTGAAAAAAAATTTTCCTCATTTCATATACCATATACAGTACATATTAATAAAATTAGAGACAGTGCACTGTAAAGTATGATATATACTGTTGATGTTATTTAAGTACTGTACTCAAAACATGATGTTTAAATGGTCAATTAAAATCAAGACTTGCCAAGTGTTTTAAGGTATACTAATTTTTCTTTGATATTTGTACAGTGGACCCCCGGTTAACGATATTTTTTCATTTCAGAAGTATGTTCAGGTGCCACTACTGACCGAATTTGTTCCCATAAGGAATATTGTGAAGTAGATTAGTCCATTTCAGACCCCCAAACATACACGTACAAACGCACTTAAATAAATACGCTTACATAATCGGTCACATTGGGAGGTGATCGTTAAGCGGGGGTCCACTGTATATGCTATCTTTTAAGTCTCGTGTAATTTATATACCAAGGCCTTATTCTATCATTCCTTTAAGTATTATTGCCACTCATAAGAGAAACTGGATAACTCATTTTGAGAGTAACTTGTGTTACTAGTGTGGTAGATTATTAACATTGATTTTATAATGTATGTAAAGTTCTGATATAAATATAAACAATATATTGGTTGCTTTCCAGCTATAAGATACATCTCAAACGAAACATGGGAGGTGGTACGTGTACGAGTGGACACCATGATTGAGTCACGGTGTGAGGAGTTAGCCTTTCGTGTCCTCAAAGTTTGTATTAGGTAGGTTTTCTTTGTAATTATCCTTTTTTTTTTTGTAATTAGTAATTTTTATATAGCTGGACTTGAGTACTGGAAATGGGAAGTACAATGCCTGCACTTTAAAGGAGGGGTTTGGGATATTGGCAGTTTGGAGGGATATGTTATATATCTCTCTATATGCTTCTAAACTGTTGTATCTGGGCACCTCTGCAAAGACAGCGATTATGTGTCAGTGAGGTGAAAGTGTTGAATGATGATGAAAGTATTTTCTTTTTGAGATTTTCTTTCTTATTGGGTCACCCTGCCTCAGTGGGAGATGGCTGACTTGTTGAAAATAAAAATTATGTAGATTTTTTTTTTAATCCACCTGTAAAAATGGCTTTTAAAGAAAAATAGATATTTTTAATATAAAGGTCAAGGTGACATGCTATGTTTCTTGCAGATGAGATAGAGACTTGTTTCTTCAAAATGGAAAATAATGTTAGAGTGGGGTGCTGCTTTGATAATACTGACCTCACATTTTGTTAGACATTATTTGAAGATCCGTGATGTAGTACTATGGGTTTGAGCTCAGGGTCTGTACCGTGGAACTATATGATGAGCTCAGCTCACTCAGGTAAGCAGCGAGAGGTAAATTTGGGCCTAGATATGTGAGAATGTATATGTGCAGCGAGTGTGTGCCATATAAAAAAAATCTTGCCCCATACAGTGCATGATGGGAAAAAACTAACTCTGAATTTAGTTTAATAGAGTGAGTTCGCAGTGTATTTTTGGATGGTTTTTGTGGTTGTATTCTTGGTTTCTTGGTATCATTTAATAAAATGGACGATATGTTACAGAAATAGCTATGATTTTGATTGGCTTCAAAACTGAAGTAGCTTCAAATTGAGCTCAAAGTAGCAGAAACGTATGATTTTTGCTGATATTCCAGAGGACACGGATTGTCACTCGTCTAGCTGGTTCAAATTCAAATTCAAATTCAAAGTTTATTCTCTATAAAGATTACAATGTTGAATTTACAGAATTTGGTTGTTGGTCTAATATGCACTCACGAATGCGCTGACATTATTTATATAAGTGTTACAATGCAGTAGTTTGCATACTAGTAAATCTTCAGTGTTTTGTGTGAATAAAAATTCAAAATGGAAAGCAAGTGTAATATAGGAGAGAACTGGGAACATAACTAATGAAAAGAGGAAATGTTTTAGTTCCAGGAAGATTTATACTGTTTATTTTTTAATTTTGTATGAAATTAGTCAAATTACCAACTTCTGATCACTGTTGGGTAGTTGAAATAGTTAAATAGGTAGTTTCTTGTACAGAAGGGTCCCATTTTACGTTGCTTCGCTAATACGAACATTTCAAAGTATCCCCCAGAATTTTCTATTATGGCGTCTGCGTGCCACACACTTGGTTTACATCCTCTGTGAGCTCTATCTTGATTATGTTTTGAAACTTTCCAAAGTTTCAAGCATTTTAAAGTTATTACATGTACTATTTTTGTGTTTCAATGGCATTTGAGGGTAGCTGTGATAAAAAAAGAAGTCATAAGTGCCAAGTTACAAAGTAGGAGCTAAGCCAGGCAAGGGAGTAGCTAAGGTGTATTTCATTTGTGTTGACGCAATAACATAGGAAAAATATCACTCTGGGGCACTTAACCCTTTGACTGTTTTGGTCGTATATATAGTCTTATGCGCCACTGTTTCGGACGTATTTAAACGCGTAAATTCTAGCGGCTTCAAATCAAGCAGGAGAAAGCTGGTAGGCCCACATGTGAGAGAATGGGTCTGTGTGGCCAGTGTGCACCACATAAAAAAAAATCCTGCAGCACGCAGTGCATAATAAGAAAATAATCCCACCGTTTTTTGGATTAAAACGCCGACTTTGAGGTGTATTTTTGTATAGTACGTGTATTTATCGTTGTACAGGTCTCCCTCAACATTCGCAAGGGTTAGGGAGGTGTATTTTTGTTTAGTATTTATCGTTGTACAGGTCTCCCTCAACATTCGCAAGGGTTAGGGGATCAAGAGCCTCGCGAATGTTGAAAAATCACGAATGTTTGGTGCCCCAATATATTGTAGGGAAATATAATACAATACTGCTTCCTTAACTTGTTGAACCATGAACAATCATAAAATACATGAAAATGTTGTAAATTGTACTAAATACATACATGTTATTTAATAACATGTATGTTATTAAATACCACTGCCTCTACCACTGCCTCCACCAATGCCTCCACCACTTCCTCAACCACTGTGAGTCCCTACTACCCTCCCTCCGACCACGCAACTGGCAGCCAGCCCTCCCACCAGTGTGGTTAGTGTTTTGTTTGTTCATTATTTGCTATTAAACTACAGTATAAATAATGAAAACCCATTCATGACTGCATGTTGGAATGGCTATTCGGACATGTATCAGACGGTGACATCATGTGTTTACTCTTGAGCACAGCAAAGAATCAAACATTTCTGCTACTGCTAATAATAACAATAGTAATAATAATAATAGTAATATAGTCGGACTTGAGTCCTGGAAATGGGAAGTACAATGCCTGCACTTTAAAGAAGGGGTTTGGGATATTGGCAGTTTGGAAGGATATGTTGTGTATCTTTATATGTGTATGCTTCTAAACTCTTGTATTCTGAGCACCTCTGCAAAAACAGTGATAATGTGTGAGTGTGGTGAAAGTGTTGAATGATTATGAAAGTATTTTCTTTTTGGGGATTTTCTTTCTTTTTTGGGTCACCCTGCCTCGGTGGGAGACGGCCGACTTGTTGAAAAAAAAAAAAAATAATAATACAGTGGAACCTCAAAAATCGAACTTAATCCGTTCCAGGAGCTAGTTCTAAATTTGAAAAGTCTGAAATTTGAAGCAATATTTCCCATAAGAAATAATGGAAATACAATTAATCCGTTCCAGAAACCCAAAAATATTCACAAAAAAAAAATAAATTATATAGTGATTAATTACAGTTTTACATACACACAACAAATGCTGTAGTCTTTAATTATGTATAGTAATATAAAATAACATTTTTACTTACCTTTATTGAAGATTAGTGATGGCATCTGGAAGATAGGGAGGAGGAGAGAGGGAGTTGGGGTTATTGTTTGGAAGGAGAATCCCCCCCCATAGGGACTTCCGGTATCAAAGCCCTCTCTGGGGTTACTTCCTTTCTCTGTATTTTAATGCCACTAGGACCAGCTTGAGAGTCATTGGACCCCAGTCTCACAAAATAACTGTCTACAGTCCTCTGTTTCTGTCTCACAAAATAATTATCCACAGTCTGTTTCTGTCTCACAAAATAACTGTCCACAATCGTCTGTTTGTCTCACAAAATAACTCCACAGTCATCTGTTTGTCTCACAAAATAACTGTCCACAGTCATCTGTTTCTGTCTCACAAAATAACTGTCCACAATCGTCTGTTTGTCTCACAAAATAACTCCACAGTCGTCTGTTTCTGTTTCAAAATAACTGTCCACAATCGTCTGTTTGTCTCGCAAAATAACTCCACAGTCGTCTGGTTCTGTCTCACAAAATAACTGTCCACAGTCGTCTGTTTCTGTCTCGCAAAATAACTGTCCACAGTCGTCTGTTTGTCTCACAAAATAACTGTCCACAGTCGTCTGTTTGTCTCAAAAAATAACTGTCCACAGTCGTCTGTTTGTCTCACAAAATAACTGTCCACAGTCCTCCGTACATCCTGGCAAGCTCAACAAGTCTCACTCCAATCTCATACTTCCGTATTATTTCCTTCACATCTATGGGGTTTCTTTGGGCCCATGGCAGCTTATTTCACAGCCCCACAAGCACTAAACACAATTAAATAATCATAAAATGTGTGAATGAGATCGCAGGTGTGTGTTCACTCAAGCATAAACAAAGCTAGACTGCTCACGGTGCCTGCGCGGGGATGCAGACAGAGCGGGTCAGCGGACAGGTCCCGTACCCGGCTGTCCGAAAATAGGGGCACGTTCAATAATAGGGACACAGTTTTTCCGAAAAAATGGTCTTATTTTCGAAACGTTCGATATGTGATACGTTCGATTTTTGAGGTTCCACTGTAATAATAATAAATATGATAGACTTAAAGAAGGAAATTGCAGAAAAAATACGAGGAAATGGTTGAGGCATCGTCAGTCAGTGTGGCTTTGTTTATGCTGGAATGAGCATTAGTCTCCGTGCTCTTCCAAACATTTCGCAATAATTCATTGTGTTTGGTGCTTGTAGATTGAGTGCAACTGGAGTGGTAGAGGCAGTGGGTGAGGCAGCGGGTGAGGCAGCGGGTGAGGCAGCGGGTGAGGCAGCGGGTGAGGCAATGGTAGAGGGAGCGGTTTAGGCAGCGGTTGAGGCAGTGGTAGAGGGAGCAGTTGAGGCAGTGGTATTAATAACATATTTTTTTTTTTTTTTCTCAACAAGTCGGTCGTCTCCCACTGAGGTAGGGTGACCCAAAAAAGAAAGAAAATCACCAAAAAGAAAATACTTTCATCATCATTCAACACTTTCACCACACTCACACATTATCACTGCTTTTGCAGAGGTGCCCAGAATACAACAGTTTAGAAGCATATACGTATAAAGATACTCAACATATCCCTCCAAACTGCCAATATCCCAAACATAATAATAATAACATATATGTTATAAATAATAATAGTACGTATTATTAATAACACGTATTATTATTATTCATAATATGTATTATTATTATTATTATTAATAACATGTATGTTGTTAAAACCACTACCTCAACCGCTACCTCACACAGCCTCACCCACTGCCTCAACTGCTGCCTCACCCACTGCCTCACCCGCTGCCTCAACTGCTGCCTCACCCACTGCCTCAGCTGCTGCCTCACCCACTGCCTCACCCACAGCCTCAACCACTGCCTCACCCACTGCCTCACCCGCTGCCTCATCCACTGCCTCAACCGCTGCCTCACCCACTGCCTCAACTGCTGCCTCACCCACTGCCTCAACTGCTGCCTCAACCACTGCCTCTACCACTCCAGTCGC